GCTCCTGCCCCCAACCCCCACCCCTACCCTGCACCGGCCTCCATGGGCAGACTCTAGGGAAACTGGATTTTGAGGCCAAGAGAAGTGAGGTGTGGGGGAAGGCAGCTCTCACAGAAGCGTGGTAGATTCTAGAAGACTATTTGCGAGGGACCAGGTCTAGACCCACCCCTGGGATGGGTGGGCACGGACTGCATGTAGTGGTTCTCCTGGTTGCGAATGTGGCTGGACGGAGGGTGTGGTGGGACAAGGCAGTGGGGGGGGTGAGGGGTGGTCAGTGTCTGGTCATTTCCGACTGAAGAGCGACCCCAGCAGAACCACGCCGGCCACGGTCATGCCTGTCAGGAACCAGCGGTTGAAGCGCTCCTGGCCCTTCCGGCTCTCGGCTGCTGCATTGTTCCCGTAGAGTTCCACAAACGTATCCTGCAAGGGAAGAAAAGGGAAGGCGCCATTGATTCCTAGACAGTAATGTGCATGGGTGCGAGAAAGGGGCCACCTGCGTGCAGTGCCCTGGGGATTTGAGGACTGAAGCCCCCAGTGCCCGCTGCGGGCCCGGTAAGGGTCAAGGGCTGACTTCTCTCTCATGAGCCCTGGCTGGGGATGATGCAACCAGGTTTTCATTGAGAGGCAGGTGGGAGTGGAGGAACTTTGTCCCTCATCAGACAGCAGGGAGGATACCCACTCCAGAACTGGGGATAGAAAGGAGTCCGAACTGGCAGGAGGCTGGCGGCAGGAGCAGGGCCCGGGTAAGGAGGGGTGGGGGAGCTGAGGGTGAGGGGAGCCACCCCACTGCAGCTGGGGGCCAGAGGCAGCAGGAACTGAGTCTGAGAGCAGTGCAGGGCTCCACCCTTCTACTCTTCCTCCATAGGGGGTGGGGGCAGACTCAGGGTAGAGTGGGTCTTGGGCTTTTCAGCCTAGGGCCGGCACAGCAGCACAGCTCGTGAGCAGGAAGGGCAGGGCGGAGAGGAGTACATCCGTGACAATGATGCAGGACTGGGAGGCTTCCCCATCCAAGTCCCCCCCAGCCAGAGCTGTCTCTGCCCCAGGCTCAGGAGGTAAGCACCAGGCCTCTGCCTCAAGCTCTGTCAGGAGGGAAGCACATGACAGGAGGGAGGAGCTGGGGACCTAATTATGCAGCCCCGAGAACAGGAGGCTGGGAGCTCCCAGCTTCATGCCCAGCCCCCACCAATCCCTGATGGTGCTGTGATGTGTCTGCTCCTCCCATGCACAGACCAGGAATCTGGCACCAAGGATCTGACCAAAGTCACCCCACCTGTGTCACCAAGCTTGGTCTACGGTGGAACCAGAATCCAGACCTGGTGCCCAAGCACCTAGAAATCAGTGCTGAGTGTGCTCTGGAACGAACAGGTCATCGGCTGGCTCTGGGGCCTGCTGAGCTCCCACACAGGCTGACATCTCCCTCACACAGGACCTGCCATCTGCAGTTGGCCCCAGGTTCTATCGCCGCATGCTCATGTGGGAGCCCTGCCCGGTCCCACTTCTAGTTGGATGATGCCCTTAGTGCCTGCTCCATGCACACACCTCTAAAAATGCAGATCAGACCCAGCACTCGCAGGCTTAATGTCCCTGGGCAGCTCCCCTGCACTTAGGAAGCAGTGGCACCAATTGTCAGAGCCCTGGTACCCAGCAGAAAGGCCATGTGCACTCAGGTGCTGATTGGGCTGAAAGAACCCTCAGCACTGACCAAGTCAGCAGGGAGGCAGCAGTGACTCTGAGCCCTGACTGAAGTCCACAAGGTGGGAAAAGGACCCTCCACTTTCCCAAGGCTCCCTGTACAGCCGGAATCAAATCCCTGCTCCTCATCATGCCCAGCCAGGGCAGTGTGACCTGTGTTCCCACATGCATCACGTCACACTGGTTTCCTTGCTGATCCGAATCTCCCTCCGCCTGCCCCTAGCCTTGTCTTCTCCTCCTCCTCAGCGCTTCCCATAACCACACTGCGCACTTGTTCTGTTGTGATCTATCTTCCATCCAGTTCCTACAGACTCGACTGAGAGTTACATGCCACATGACGACGATTTGGTCAAGGACATGTGTGTGACAGTGGTCTTACAACATTAAAACCCAAACTCCTGTTGCCTGACTTAGGGAAGAAGCTACAGTGCAATGTGTCCCTCACATGTATGGTGACGGGAGTGTCAATCAACCTAGCACAACTCGGTCATATACAAGTGCAGCATACATGATGATATAAGAGTGGATATGGTTAACAAATGTATTATGGGTTTCTATATTTATAAACTATACTTTGTTTGAGACAGGTTCTCGCTATGTAGCACAGGCTACCTTGAACTTATCTGCCTCAGTTTCCCAAATGTCTGGGTTATT